ACACATAGTAGTGGAAAACTTCATCACGCGTCCGCCGTCAGACTTTGCGAATCGCTCAATTCGCAAAGTTTGACACCGGCTCATAGAAGAAATACGCAGGCATTCGTGAGACGAGCTCAAGAGGATCACAAGGGGCAACAATTATTCAGCCAAATTTCGCGAATCACGGAGTAAGTGAAATGCGCGGAAATTCTTCAAAAGGTACGAGGCAACAGAATCGATCCGTGTCTAATCTTGAACACTTCCCACAACTCCGTGCAGGTATGAAAAATGGAGGAGGAAATGGGAAACCTTCTCTGAGTGTAAAAACTTAGTAGAGGTATTCGTGTATTTCGAATTAGTTAATATTACGTTTCTGAGAACAATTCCGAACAAGCACAGAAAACAAACGGAAGTATGGAGACAAGATCCGAGACATTGTCAAGAGACAAAATATGAAACACAGATCAGTAACCGCGATTTGAAAGAGGTTATGGAAAGTACCTGCTTTAGTTTCAGAGCCATACACCTTCATTACTTCTTCGACGGTCCAATTGCTGTATGCTTCATTTTTAACGAATTTTGAGCGAAGCACCTGTACAACAGCCAGTTTAAAAGCTTCTGAAGCAGCCATTAAGAAAAGGAAACAAGGTAGCGCGTTTCCGTACGAATTCGGTGCCATGACGCAAAAGTGTATATATCGAAAAACTTTCGCTATGCGCTTTTTCATAAGAAATCCACTGATTGCATAATGAACCCACCTTGCAAGATGGTGAATTGTTTGGCATGGCTTTTGACGGCTCCTCAATCTTTGGTGGCTTATCTAAAGACTGTGATGATGGCTCATCAGACGACTGCGAGAGTGGTTCACTAGTCTGCGAAGGTGATTCACTAGTCTGCGTAGGTGGTCCATTAGACGACTGTGAAGGTGATCCACTAGACTGCGAAGACTTTCCACCAGACGATTGCGACGGTGTTTTCAGTTCGCTCTCGTTTTCGAGATCAATACAAATAATGGAATCGTCAACCTTGCGTCGTTTCTTTGACGGCGAGTCGAACTAAAGTTACGAAAAGGATCAAAAACAGAATGAAAAATTTTCGATTTGCTGATGCCTAAACCCTCACCTCAAAAGCTGTGCCACATTTCTTGTCTTTTTCTTTTTTCTCTTTTTCCAAACGTCTTTTTCGAGTACCACAGCTTTCATAGCGGTCGTTCCATACAGACCATTCAGGAACCGGAGTTGGCAAGTAAAATTTGTCCGCAAGTATCGACTGATCCACCTGAAAATCTGTACTCCACAGGTCTTATAGAGGATTCAAACAGACGAAAGTGGTGCTCAGCACTAGTCCTAGCGAAAAGGAAAGCTCGAGCAATGGCATGAACTGGCATCATCGCTCGGAAAGATAAGATACGGTCGCAGGTCCGACCTATCCTGTTGACTATACTGAAATTTTTAGGTCGAATTTCCATCAGCCTTGCGGTTGAACGCGACCGATTTAGTGTGACCCGCCGGCATCCCACAATGAGTCGTGAATGGGCTGATATTTGAAAAAATTCTCTTTCTCCTTTGATCTTTTCAACTCCCAATCATTACTGTTATTTTTTCAAATAACGACAATTCAAAAAAAAACAAAATAAAATATATAGAGAGAAATAGAATTCAAATCAAAAAATTGAATATTCCGTCAAACCATGGTCTGAACCCAGGTACCAGCAAACCACTTGGAAGGATTTACTGGCAGATGACTTCCTCAAGACTAACGCCCCAGCCACCTCGGATTAGACCACGTTCCTACAGCCCATGATCCCGCTACTGTCTTCCGAAAACCGATCTACTGGTGTGGACTGGAGATTTAAAGCGTGAAGTTCGTGAGGTCTGGGCAATAAGCGAATTCCAGCTGCCACATCAAGCAACCCGATGATGAATTTGCCGGCCATGCCGTCAAGCGTAACATCATAGCAGCAACGTACTCTTCTCGAAAACACTAACTGTCCAATCGAAGAGTGTGGGAAACCTGAAGGAGACGAAATCCTTTAGGGTTGCAATTGACAAAGCACCAATTACCGAGCAGCAGAGCATAGAAGGGCACTGGCATGGAGTTAAGGAATTCGAACACCATGTTTGCCCTAGCAAAATCGTTTGATGTAATTTGTGTAGAAGGCTACTATGGAGTTTCGCGAGAGAATGCCTTTTTTGGAAGTTGTGCATCTTTGAAGC